TTGCTGCTCTTGGTCTCCTCAGATTTTCTTGGACTGATCAAACTGCAGGGAGACAGAAACCACCTCAAACTCACACTGTATGTACAAGTAGTTGAATTACTTGCACACACCAGACAGCTTTGAAGTGCTAGCTGAAATTAGCCAGGAACAGATTATTAGACTGAATCTGTCACTTGGACAGTTTTGCAGCAAATAAGAAAAAAAAAATCACTTAATTTGCTCAAAAGACAGAGAGAAAAGGAAACTAGAGAGCTGTGGAAACCCAAGAGCTGATCTTACAGGGGAAGCACTACATAAAATAGTTTTGCCAAACCAGCAGCAACTCCAGCCTTTTCATCCACAGCCCTGGAACTTCCCCAGCTGCTGCTAAGCCCGGGAAAAGTGGCCAGGCTCTGTGGTCCTGTCACTCCTGCAGGTTTGTTTTGCATGTTTGCTCTGCTGCTTTTCCTCCCTCACGTGGCTTATTGGGTGTTTATTACAAAGCAGCACAAGTAGAGCCAGTTCTGAAGAGCTGTCCCAGCCCCAGCCTGCTGCTGTCCCCGGGCCGGGCACAGGGTACAGGCTGTGCCAGGGAAATGCTTTCCCAGGCAGCTCCAGGGCTGTCTGGGGCTGCAGCCACCACTGGCTCGTTCCTCTCTGGTTGAGCTCCCAGGAGCCAGGGATGGGATAGCACTGCTGGAATGTGCAACAGCTCCACTGGTGGTGCCGGCTGGGGAGGGGGAAGGGAAGAGGAAAAATGCTCTTTGGGGAAAACAGACAGTCCTGCAGCTTATTTGTCCTTCAGTGGGGTCAGCCTGAGATGAGGATTCCTTCCAGGCACCTCATGCCCTGATGGAACATGAACCCACCTATCCCTCAGTCCACTTCCCAACACAAATTTCAGCTCCACCTTTTCATACCAAAAATTTGGGGCTTTATGTCCCCTTCAATCTGATTTACATAATCTGAGACCTTCAGCTCTCCTTAACTGATGATCTATCAACACTTTCACCTGAGGTCACTTTCTTTGAGTCCTTTCTAACAGCTCTTAAAACAGAGATTAACCCTTTGTCTGAGTCAACTCGAGCTGACTCGAGTCACAGGATGTTAAAAGCAACCAGAAATAATCAGAGACAATTAGAGGGCTATAAAATTCTAACAAGCTCACCCTTCCCAACCTGTGCTGTGTTCCAGAAACAAACAGCACTGATGTGCTGAGCAAATTTGAGGTTATCTGGACCTCAGTGGCACAAGAGCTGAGCAGCTGGAGGAATCAGCCCTATCACCAGGACACTAACCACACTAGTGACCCAGCTCCCCTTCACAAAGTTCATGTTTACTCTCCTGAACAGAAGCAAACAAAGCAAAACAGCCAAACAACTGGTTAAATTTATCAGCCACTGGAGTTGTATTAAGAACTGGAGCATTACAAGCTGCTCCACAGAGTAAGCAGCACTATAAAGGTATGTAGGCATCTCATTTGCATAACAAACGAAGAACAAACTGATGAGCTTCACACAGGTGAGACCAATATCACAACTTACACCACAGCACCATCCAAGGAGGGGTAACCACATCGTGCTGCCACAGCTCAGTCCCACTGACTTAAAACACCAGTGTTGCTTTATTTAAAATAGGATAACTGAAATGAGGGGAGTTTTACATTCTTGCTGTTCAAAACTCCTAGCAGCAGCAGGGAGGCAGTGGTGGGGAAGGATGGGAAGCTCCTTTGCAGGAACACCCTCAGCTCCAGAAAACACAGGGAGTTTTCAGACATTCACCAACAGGCCCGAGGACATTCTTCTCCTCAAAGCTGCCAGTCAAGATTTTTACATCTCAAGCTCCAACTTCAGTTTTTAAAAGCTGTTCTGGACTGGGAGGTGCTGCAGCCACTGTACACACAGACTTGAGGCCACTGACTTTTCCTGGAACATCCCAGGAAGGTTTTAAAGACAGTGGGAAAGTTTTTGAAAGGATAGTTTTGATAAAGCATCATTCCACCACACAGGGCATCAGGTTAGAAGATGATATTGCAGGTGAAAACTGATAAGAACTTAATCCTTACTCCCTGCAGGAAACTTACTCTGCTTTATAGTGAACATGCCTACAACAGCCTTGGCTTTCCCATTAACCTCATCCATTCAACCTCCCTCTTACTACTTGGAAGTCTCCAGAACAAGACACCTCTTCCCTGAGGAGACAGCTTCAACCTCAGGCTACATTAAAAGTGAGGAAAAAAAGACAGTCTGCTGTTGCCCCTTTCAAAAGCCAACACTCAGCTATGATTTATCTGTACCAGATAAACGATACCAGAGCCATCTGCTGCCCCTCTGAGCCTTGGAGCATATTTAGTGCTACTGGTTATGGTATGGAAACGAGTCACTCCATCGCACTCCCCTCCTGCAGTGCCAGGAGATGCATTTGCTGAGATTGTCCACAGGGACCTCAACAAGCCTGTGATTCTGTGACAGCCTCGGCAAGTTGGTGTTGATGCTGTTCTGAAGAAAGCTACAACAGCCCAGGCCCTGCAGGGCGACTGGAGCAGCAAACAGCTTAGCAGGATCCCCCTGGAACTCAGTCCTGAACTCTTACAAACTTTAACCCGAGATCAGGGACCTGACGACGCCACAGACACTTCGGTGAAGCCTCAAGCGCAGCAGTTCCTTCCCACCGGCTCTCCAGGCTTCACC